TAATTTTACTTAGAAAAGAAAAGAAAGTTTATTTTCACTTACACAAGATTGATTAATCCAAGTATGCCCATGCCTCTGAAGTCTGTTTTGGGATCATCACCCTGGAAACCAATGTCAGCCCACTGCTTGGAGATTCTAGCCTTCAACTTTTTTGTGGGCATTAGAAGATTCCAAAGCTGTACAAACATGCTTCCATATTACAAATAATAGTGATGTTCTTAATTTACCAGACATTTTCCTTCTCATAGCTTATATAACTAGTAATAAATATTTCAATTAAACAACTTTTATAGACAAATCATAGGTTCAACAAAGACTATATTTAGATATTTTCAAACATCCTAAAATATGCAGCATAATTATTTCAATTAAAAAGATTGGTATAAAGAATAGACTTTGAAAAGGTAACAAATAATACATGAAATCTATAACAATGAGATGTCTTTATTTACTAATTAACACATATATACCAGAATTGGTAAACTGCTTGAGAACACTGTATTAAGCACCTGACCATTGCTTCAGATAATGTATACTTAAACAGGCTCTATTATAATGGTAGGAGATTAGTCCCTAATCAGAAGAAAAATAGGTCTGAGAGAGGGGATAATGAAGGAATGATACTGATAATATTCCAACCTATATTATCATTATTTTATAAAATTTTCAGTTTTAAAAGAAAATTAATGTGACTTGGTTTTAAATAAATATCATCTTTAAGACTGAGGATTTAAAAACAGCTATCAAATATTAGATACCAATAAACTAGTCAATGTAAAATAAAGTTAAGATAACTTAGTCATTTTCTAAATTCAATACCACAAGTCATCAAACAAAAGAGGCTTACAGAAGTTGATAAAAAAAAGTTTGTGAAAATTTGCGAAAGAGAAATACTTGCATTTTTTCCCATCTCACTACCATTTCAGGCATTGCTGATTAAAGACTCCTAATGAAAGGAGTNAAACTTTAATGGTTAGGTTTCCCATTCTACACATTTTATATCTGTAAATCACAATTCACAGACCCAAACACTAGAATCTGTAAATATGCATATCCTTATATGAGGAAATTAATCTTCCCGTTTATTTTCTGTAATAGTTTTAGCTATCAGTTGTGATTTGAGTTACATATTTTGGGATTTCATACATGTACCCAATCATATGTATTAGAGAAGAAAAAGGAGAGAGAGTTCATATAGGCTCTGAAAAGTCAGGGATTTAGATCAGTTGTCACAAGTAGTAAATAAAACGTGAAGAGACTTCACTGTGGTCTTATATGGTTATATTTCCCAAAATGGAAGCAGAGAGCCCAGAGAGAAGAAGCAACAGAATAAAACAGTAAGAAAAGAATGTACATAATTCTTTAAGAGGTATCAGAAGGGAGGTCAGGAAGAGAAAGGAAGAGGAAACCACTGGTAAGTAAGGAAATCACACACACGTACACAGACATATTTCTAATGTCTTCATATTGTTGACAGCACATTAGCAAATACTTCNTTTTTTCCCATCTCACTACCATTTCAGGCATTGCTGATTAAAGACTCCTAATGAAAGGAGTATCCTGTTACCTAAAATAAAATGTGAAGACTTGTGACCTTGCTTTAAAACAGGGTCAGGACTCTGGCTCTAAAGCTAAATCCAATCATGAGATTGGGTTTCATCTGGTCCCTACTTTCATGACCAACATATGCAATTTGCTCACATCAGTGTCTCCCCACACATTCAGCAAGAAGTTTGATTATACTCCAATGATAATGCCTCAGTGACACAATGAGAGCCACAGTATAAGACCACTAGTTTTCAAAACTTAAAATGCACAAATATCAAATCTCTAGGTTTCATCTCTGGAGATTCTGATTTCATAAGGGTAAGGCAGAACTCTGGAATCTAAATATTAAACACGGGTTAACTCTAGTGAGGGTGGTCCTTGGACCACACTGAAAGCAACATGGATTACATAACTCTCTACCCTTTAAGACTGCTGAGGTTGTACAGTGGCTGGG